GAAAATAATGATTTCTTTTAAAATTTTCTAATATATGATTAATTGTTGGAACTAGATTAAAAAGAATCATATTTACAAGCACCACTTAATGAACGGTCACATAAACTAACCACAATAGTTATAGAGAATGCTATTTTTTAATTTTTAAATACTTGTATCTGCCCTATGGGGTAAGCACGGGACCAGGTTTGTTTCAGAGATTAATTGTATGATTGCCGTGTAGTGGCGGTTAAGAATATCCACTACCCCATATCTTCCCGTGGGTGTCGTAAAAGGCGACAAAGGGAAACAGGCAGGAGATGGGCAGCAGCATCTTCCTGGTAACGGCAAAATACAATAAAAAACTGCGGTTGCCAACCCGCTCGCCAAGCGTGGCAATTATGGCAATATACCCCCCATGATGAAAGTTACGAAGAGACGACCCCCAGTCCCCGGCGGCCCCGCTATTCCTGGCTACGGTGGCGACCATGGTAACGGCGGGGCAGGGGGTGCTAAGAATCTTCGGTGGAGGTTCGGTTGCCACCTACGACGACTCGACCTGGCAACATACAACGCACACACCCTGAGGACTGACGAGAAGATTGTGGAGCTGGAAGAAGAGATAGACAAGTTACGCTGGCATATTATAGGATTATCCGAAGTCCGAAGAGAGGGAGAGGACACGGTAATCCTCGAATCCGGCAACTTGCTCTATTACCGGGAGGGCGACCATCTGTCCCAAGGATGTGTCGGATTTATCGTCCACAAGTCTCTCGTTAACAACGTTGTAAAGATTGAGAGTGTGTCGACGAGGGTTGCGTACCTTATACTCAGAATCACCAAACGGTATTCGCTGAAGGTCATACAGGTTTACGCACCAACCTCGGCACACCCCGATCAGGAGGTGGAGGAAATGTATGAGGATATCTCTAGAGCCATGCATTCCTCCAAAACCCAATATACGGTGTTAATGGGAGACTTCAATGCTAAACTAGGCACAAGAGAGAACGGTGAGCTGAAAGTGGGAAAATTTGGAATAGGGCAACGGAACCCAAGGGGCCAGCAGCTGGCCGACTTCATGGAGAAAGAGGGACTATTTATGATGAACTCTTTCTTCCAGAAGCGGCCCCACAGGAAGTGGACCTGGTCGAGCCCCGACGGTTCGACAAAAAATGAGATTGACTTCATTATGACGACCAGACGACAACTGTTCAGTGATGTCTCAGTGATCGCGAGGGTGAAAACCGGCAGCGATCACCGAATGGTTAGAGGCACACTGAACCTAAACGTTAAGTTGGAGAGGTCTCGTCTAATGAAGTCAACGCTCCGTCCCCCTCGTGCTCTAATTCAAAGTCCCGAAACCTTTCAGCTCGAGTTAAAAAACCGTTTTCAGTGCCTAGAAGACTGCAATGAAGTGGACGATTTGAATAACAAGCTCGTGGAAACTGTCCATGCGATCGGAGCTAAGTTCTGCAAGACCCGCCGCAGAAGAACACAAAAACTCTCCGATCACACTCTTAATCTCATGGCTGTTAGACGGGAGATGAAGCTACATTCTTCAACAGATTTGACAGCATACAGGCAACTGAACAGACAGATCTCCAAATGCATGTGGCGGGACTTACGCAACTTCAATACAGCTCGTATTGAAGAAGCGATCGAGCGGAACCAAGGCTCCAAAGTCTTTGCCAGAGATCTGTCTGCCAGAAAGAGCCAACTGTCAAAGCTGAAGACCGAATGTGGCAGCATCGTTTCCGGTGCACCTGAGATTTTGAGTGAGATTGAGAGGTTCTATGGGCAGCTGTACACGTCATCGTTGGAGCCGCACACAAGTGTGGGTAACGATCCAAGAGCGACTCTTATCCGACATTATTCCGATGATATCCCGGACGTCAGTCTGAGCGAGATTAGAATGGCTCTCCAGCACCTTAAAAACGGCAAGGCCCCAGGCGAGGATGGAATTACAGCGGAGCTTCTGAAAGCGGGTGGAAAACCGGTACTTGAAGTCCTTCAGAAGCTCTTTAATTCCGTCTTCCATGGTGGCATTATACCGGAGGCGTGGAGCAGAAGTGCGGTGGTCTTGTTCTTCAAGAAAGGCGACAAGCCTCTCTTGAAGAACTACAGACCGATTTCCCTTCTGAGCCGCGTCTACGTGCTGTTTTCGAGAGTCATTACGAATCGTCTCGCGCGCAGACTTGACGACTTCCAGCCTCCCGAACAAGCCGGTTTCCGAAAGGGCTTTAGCACCATAGACCACATACATACCCTTCGGTAAATTGTACAGAAGTCCGAGGAGTACAATTTGCCACTATGTCTGGCGTATGTGGACTATGAGAAAGCCTTTGATTCCGTCGAAATTTGGGCGGTGCTGCAGTCCCTTCAGCGATGCCAAGTTGACTGTCGGTATATAGAAGTGCTGAAGTGCTTGTACAGACATATACAGACTACGATGGCTATTGGAGTACAGAACCAGAGTACGAAACCTATCCAATTGCAGAGAGAGGTGTAAGACAGGGTGACGTCATATCCCCGAAACTCTTTACCGCTGCATTGGAAGATGTTTTCAAGCTTCTGGACTGGAAAGGATACGGTATCAACATCAATGGCGAGTACATCACTCACCTTCGATTTGCCGACGATATAGTCCTTATGGCAGAATCGCTGGAGGACCTAAGCACTATGCTCAATGACCTCAATAGTGTTTCCCAACAGATAGGTCTTAAGATGAACATGGACAAAACAAAGATCATGTTTAATGTCCATGTTACACCTATGGCGGTAGTTGTTGGGAACACTAAGCTCGAAGTTGTTGACGAGTATGTTTACCTGGGATAAATAGTCCGACTAGGTAAGTCCAACTTCGACCGAGAGGTCAATCGACGGATTCAACTCGGTTGGGCAGCGTTCGGGAAATTACGGCACATCTTCTCGTCAGGTATACCTGAAAACTTGAAAACGAGACTGTACACCCAGTGCGTGTTGCCAGTGATGACATACGGAACTGAGACGTGGTCCTTCACTGCTGGCCGGATGAGGAAGCTCAAGGTCGCTCAGCGAGCTATGGAGAGGGCTATGCTCGGAGTTTCTCTGCGTGATAAGCCGTCCGGATAGGCCTTTGCAAGTAAAAAATTAAATGACAGGCAGATCAAGTATCCTACTATTGAAAAAAAAAGCATTAGCATTATTATATTTAGAGTAACAAAATTTTTTGAATATCTATTTGCAAGAACATTTGAATTAGAAACTGATATGCAACATTTGTAAGAATTTTTGGTCCTAAAAAGGGAATACCAAAAATGACTTGCAAATGTTTACAGCATTAAGCTGGGGATACACATGCCCGTAGCTTGCACACTAGCATACCAGCCCCTTGCACGTGCCAGCTACTGTCATGTCTATACGCTAACTGGCATGCCTGTAACTAGCATACAAGTAGCTAGCACAACATTTGATTTACTTGCATGCCCGTTGAGGGAGGGAACGCGGGGGGTTGCCAAACTGGCACGTGTGAATAGACGCGACAGCTACGGGCATGCCAGTAGCTGACTCGTTGTGGTCGTAGGCGCACGTTAATGTTTTTTTTTTCGAAGGTCAAGTTTTTTCAAGTCATTCTTTTGTTGGTTTTTTTGTATTCAACATGGCACGATGGGGAGATGAGAGAACTATACAGTTCATTCATTTGTACAGAGACTACGAATGTCTTTGGAAGCCGACTAGCCCGCTTTACAAAAACAAATTAGCACGTGCCAATGCCTACACCAAAATACAAGAAGAATTTAGTATGACTCAAAAATAAATTAAAAATAAAATCAAAAGTCTGCGAAGTACTTATCATCAAGAAAAGAATAAAGTGGAAAATTCAAAACGATCCGGAGCTGGATCCAGTGACATTTACAAACCCAGTTTGATTTGGTATAAGGAAATGGATTTTATAAATGAAAGTTTCGAATATAGAAACTCAATCCAAACCGCTGTTGTAAGTACCTACTCTTTCTCTTTAACACGCTTTTATTGGCTTCATATGTTTGTAACAGACTTCTTTAGACTCGATTTTTTAACAGAATAATATCAGCTTATATTAAAAATTATGTTTTACTTTTTAGTTCGATGTGCTCTAAAAGCGTGTTTTTTTAGTTTTTCTAAACTATATTTTTATCTATTATTATGTAAAAAAAAAGTTGACACAATAGTTATATTAAGCAAAAGTACTTAGACAATTACATTTATTCATTTAAAATATTAATCATACGATCTTGCCAAGGCACTGCTTCTGTTGTAATGAAAAGATCTGCATATTTATTTAATATTTATTCTAATAAGTATCGCTTCTCTAGACGATCGATTATTTCGTGTTCCTGATAAATTCCGTAAAGATCTTTGTAACTGATCACGCCAGTAGCCGTTAATAATAGTACTGAGTTGAATATCTTCATAATCCACACAACTTTGTGTGATATAAGTATTAGTGGTTTTCCGCAACCAATTGTGTAAAGAACATGCTGCTAATACTATGACGTCAACTTTTTCTGGTTTTAGAGCTATAAATGATTCAAAAATTCGGAATCTTGTGTATCAAGATTCCGAATTTTTGAATCATTTATAGGATACCGAACGCATTTTCGACAATTCGCCTGGCCCTTGACAACCGATAATTAAAAACTTTTTCTCTTCGGGTGGCTCTGATAGGAAACGGTTTCATGAGATATTTTTTTAAGGGAAAAGCTGCATCTCCAACTATAACAGAATGTTCAGGAATATCTAAATAATTATTTTCTAGTGCTTGTTTCAAGACTGATCTTTCAAACACTCCTCCATCTGAAGCTCTGCCGTTGCATCCTATATCAATATAAGAAAAACAGTAATCGTCATCCACCAATGCTAGTAGCACTATGCTGTGGCTTCCTTTATAATTAAAATAATTTGATGTTTCGTCAGGAGCAATAATATTTGTGTTTGCCATCGATACCTCCAATACAGCCTGGAAAGTTCCATTTGGTTCGAAAGCCATTTTCTATCTCCTTCTATTCCTGTCTCGTAGAAATCTGAAAACAAAATGTCTGTTAACATATATAAAGTAACGAATATTACCTGCAACACTTAATAAAAAAAATAAAATTTGCAGGTACAACAGTTCTCTCAATCGAACACTGAAACAGAAACACCACGCTCTCAAAGAGGTACTTCATCAGACCAGCAATCCTCCTCTCAAACAGTCAACCCACCAAACAACGAAACATTCTCTGTCGCAGTCGACCAATCACACTCATCCAATCACGCAAGCATTACAAACGAGCAAGTACCATCACCCTCTCTCCAGGACCAGCAATCCTCCTCTCGCACTGCAGCAATCAACCGACCACACAAAACTAGTCAGACTAAGAAAAAACGCGTAGAGCAAAACGAAACCTTAACTGCACTTCAACGTCTGAAAAATATTGCTACTGCAGTCAATAATCATGGATCAAATGAAAAAGAAAAAGATTACTTTTATTATTTCGGACAAAGTGTTGCTGCTCAGTTAAGATTATTGCCATTAAATAACGCTCTGGATATGCAATCTAAAATTCAAGTTTTGCTAAGTACAGAAAGGTCTCGATTGTCCACTTCATATTCTCAGCCTTCCACTCCATATTCTAACACATCTATATATTCTGAAGAAACAGCAGCATCTTCTGCCGATGATCGATTCATACACATAATACCATACACGCAGTCAAACACTACAGAAGATAATACTATCACTTTTGGTCAAGAATCAGGACAGAATATTTTTAACCAAGCTTGGAATAATGCCTAATTTCTATGCTGAAATAAATAAAAAACATGAAAGATGTTCAACATTGTTTTACTCACTTTAATAAAATCCCTTAGTGCAGTAGCTATTTCACTACAAACAATTGGAATGAACTGTGAAATCGTCGATTTTCCTACTCTGTACAATGCTTCTAAAGATACAAATGAATCACCTGTAGCTAAAAATCTTAATGTTATTTCCAATTTGGTTTTTGATGGGATGGCATTTCGCATGTGAGTATCATTTTTTGTTATTTTGTCCCTAATTTTTCCTAACAATTCATCAAATTTTTCTGGGAGCATTCTCAAATGGTTTTTGTAACCATCAGGATCTTCTTGACGCATTTCTTTAAGCAGACAACTACTTGCTCCAAAATCATCCCTTCTACTAATCCAATCTCTTACCCAAGCCCGTCTTCTTCTTTTTCTCTTTTTATCTCTCATTAATTTAGCTACACATTCAATTGCTAGTAACAACACGATTTTGTTTAATTCACTTCGGTTGTTATCCATTTTTGGCACGCAAGAATAGGTTCCGAGTGACACTCACGAACTGTACTGTGTATACGCAATGGTAATACTGTCATGCAAGGGCACAACTTGCATGCCAGTATTACATGCAAATGTATCCGCAGTGTGCCAGTTACTCGTACATGCCAGTAGCTGGCCGCCCTAGGCCAGATTTTGTCAGGCTTTAACTATTGTATCCATCATATTAGTTCAAAAAATAATCCTGCAGACTTATTCTCAAGAAACCCAATTGAGGATAAAAGTAATTTTAAACATCCACTGTTAGATAATAGTGAAGTAAGTGTTTTAAATTATTTGTCATTGTCAGATTTTGAAAGTGTTAATTGGAAAGATATTGTATAAGAAACTGCAAAATTTACTTTGCTGTCAACTGTTTTGCGGTAGTAATTTTTTATTAGCGGGGAATCGAACCAGGTATTTGGTTTATTTAACCTGTGAATAAAGTGGCTAGGTAGGACAAACATAGTGGCAAAATAGTAGGCTAAGTAGATAAGTTAGGTATTTAGACAAGTGTTAGGCCGAGAGTGAAATGTTTTTATCAATGTATCTCGATATTGCTTAGAAAGTAATCGTTTTATGGTTCAAGACATAATATTTGGAAGAGATTGTGGAGTACACGATTTGAATAGGAATCGAGTGATAGATGGAGTATTCCACAAGAAGTACGAGAAGTACAGAATTTACCCAGAAAAGTTTTTCGAGTATACCAGAATGAGTGGCGAAACCTTCGATTATATTCTTGTTAATACTAACTACTAATTCCAAAGCTACTAGCAGGCCTATCAAGTATCTCGGCAATAAAAGTATCAGTGTTCATGTTTTCGTTCACCGCGTCTGCCGCTCGACTCCGTGTCTTGCGTCGTACTGATTCACGCCTTTGTTTCAGTCGCCCGCCGCGCCGCCAGTCGCCCGCGCGGTAGACGACCTGACAGCCCGAAAACTCGTGACCAATTTTGATTTGATATTGTGTGCGTTAGCTAGTGATGTACATTTTACTTGAAACAGAAACAGAAACTCTTTTAGTCAATATAGATTATAAATAATACTTATTGAAAGTCACTCTTTTGTATAATTACCACTGGTTCGAAAAAACAACCTCTGTCCTGGGAAGAACCAGCAAGAAACCCAGCGGGACTTTTTTTTAAATAACAGCTTACAATCATGTATGTTACACAAATTAACAACACAACAAATTAGAAACAGCTTGGTAGCGATCCTCATTTCCAGGGGTTATTATCATCTATAAATTATTTAATATTATAATAACCCTTTTTATCCAAACTTAGTTTAATAAAGTTTTTGAACAGTGAGCAGTTCAAATTTTGTATATTTTCTGGAATTTTGTTGTAAAAGCGTATACATCGCCCCAAGAATGAATTACTGACTCGATGGAGTCGAGTAACTGGAACTACTAGCTTGTGTCTGTTCCTAGTATTTACAGAATGAATATCACTTATTTTTGTAAAACTACTTTTATTTTTGTGTACGTACATTACATTTTCATAAATGTATTGTGAGGCCAATGTTAATATATTAATTTCCTTAAATTTTTGTCGCAGCGACTTTTTAGGCTTTAAATCATATGCTCTTATGGCCCTCTTCTGTAAAACAAATATAATTTCAGTGTCAACTGCGTGTCCCCATAACAAAATACCATACGACATTATGCTATGGAAATAGCTAAAGTAAACTAGTCTAGCTGTTTCAACACCAGTTAGACTTCTAATCTTACGGCATATGCTGTAGAACTAAGTCTGCTTGCTAGTTTTGATATATGGGGGATCCATTGAAGCTTCGCGTCTAGTGTGATTCCAAAAAAAATGGTGGTTTCTACAAGACTCAATTTTTCCCCATTTAAAATTACATTAGTATTTAATTGTTTGACATTTGTCATAAATTTCATACATTTCGTTTTAGTGCCATTTAAATGCAAATTATTAACATTGAACCAATTTACTGATTTAGATATAGCATTATATCGGCTGGGCAGCGTTCGGGAAGCTACGACACATCTTCTCGTCAGACATACCTCAAAACCTTAAAACGAAATTGTACAACCAGTGCGTGTTGCCAGTGATGACTTACGGAACTGAGACGTGGTCCTTCACTGCTGGCCGTATGAGGAAGCTCAAGGTCGCTCAGCGAGCTATGGAGAGGGCTATGCTCGGAGTTTCTCTGCGTGATAAACTTAGGAATGAGGATATGCCCAGTAGAACCAGAGTGACCGACATAGCCCAACGGATTAGTAAGCTGAAGTGGCAGTGGGCCGGCCATATAGCTCGAAGAACCGACAACCGATGGGGAAGAAAGGTTCTCGAGTGGCAGCCTCGTACCGGTAGGCGAAGTGTAGGGCGTCCCCCCACGAGATGGAGTGACGACCTGGTAAGACATGCAGGAAGTCGATGGATGCAGGTGGCTCAGGACCGTGTTTTGTGGCATTCTTTGGGGGAGGCCTATGTTCAGCAGTGGACTTGTGAAGGGCTGTAATGATGATGATGATGATGATTATTTACTTCGTCATATTTTAGCAATTGTCGACTTAATTTGAAAATTAAAGAAGTGTCATCTGCAAATAATACTATATCATGGTTATCTCCTACTATGTAAGGTAAGTCATTCATGTATACAAGAAACAGAAAGGGGCCGAGAATTGAGCCTTGAGGCACGCCCATTTGTACCATCGATCCGGAAGAACTCATACTGTAAATGACAACTTTTTGCGTTCTCTTACTTAATAATTTAAGAGCATCACTTCTTACATCGTAGTGTTGAAGTTTCCTGATTAATGTTTCATGGTGAACACAATCGAAGGCTTTGGATAGGTCACATAATATACCCAAAGTATCCTATGAATTCTCCCATACATTAAACATATATTTAATCAGCTTAACACCGGCATCAGTTGTCGAGCGACCCCTTGTGAAACCAAATTGATTTTTATGAAGTAAGTTATTTATATTAAAGAAATTTAACATTTGATCAAGAATAATTTTTTCAAAAATCTTACTAAGTGTTACTTTACTATACTTCATTAAATCAGGAAACATACCAGATTCGATACTCGTATTAAAAATAATAGCTAAATGAGGCGCGATTGTATCTATTATAGACGCAATAACTTTAACGGAAATCAGCCACAGATCCGCAGTTTTCTTAACATCAATAGTTTTAAAATATTTTGCAATATCTTTTGATGATACTATATGAAATGTAAAATTCTTTATACATGCATTTACATTTTGTTTAAGTAATGATTCGGCGACGTCAGGAGAAGTATTCAGTGACTTAAAAGGACTATCGAAAAATTATTGTTCAGAAAGCGGTATATAGAATAAAGACTAATAAAATAGTTAGAGATTATTCTACCTATAAACTTAAACAATTTTCCAAGAATCGGATCGGAAAATTAAATTTTCAAGTTATTTACCTTACGATCTTTGGACATTCTGATTCTGAATTGGACATTTGAACAGAAAATTATTTTAATAACCAAATAATGCAATCTATATTAAATTTTGAAATAAATATTGTAGATGATGAGGATAACATTGCCATTGCAGTATATCATACAAAGCGTAATAACCAGTGCCCGAGACATAATAAAATGGCTTAATATTAACACGAAGTATCACTATAATTTTGAGAGAAAAAGGAAGAAGAAACCTACATTAGATTGCTCCACGAGATGGCATTCTACGATAGATATGGTTGAAAGTATTTTAAACTTAAAAGATATATGTGCAACAAATGAACATAGGAGTTACCTGATGAGATCTGGAATGATCTAGATTCTATGCTTCCAGGAAAGAAGCTTCATAAAATTTTGCCAAAAGAACAGCTTACTATGGGGGATTTTTATATCGAATGGATGAAACGTCAATTTGAACTGCAAAAAATGAACACTCTGTTAGCTAGACAGCTTATTCGTTACATGAAACAGACAATTTAAATAAAACTAATTTTACAGATTTTATCGCGTATATTAACTTATTTTACATTCCAAAAAGTTAGTTTTCATTCAAAAACCCGCGTTAAAGAACACATAGCTGATGTGAAGAATAGACGCTCCGGGAAGTCTGCAGTCTGTGAACACGTACAGGATCGCCCCCGTCACTACATTAGATTTGATAGACCACAAATCCTCACTAAAGAACACCGATTCCTTCCAAGGATGATTCGCGAGGCTATTGAAATCAAGAAACATCCTAATTTCAATAGAGAAGATGGCTGGGTGCTACCATCTGCTTGGGATCCCATAATTAATAAAATTAAATCCCAACCCAAGCATACAACTGCAAGACTTCATGATACTGTTGTTGTGAAGTTCATACTGCATAGATCGGAACAAAAATTAATAATTTTTAATCTGGGGGTAGCCGTGGTTAACTATGACAATGGGACGTCATACACCTCAGTCCCCCCCGTGACCATGGGTGCTGCAAAGTGCTTGAAACGTCGGGAATGTAAAATAAGTTAATATACGCGATAAAATCCGTAAAATTAGTTTTACGAGTATTTAAATGTGTAGTGTTCGCGTAAATATAAGAAATCATTATGAAACAGACAAGCTGTTTTATTTGACAATAATGCACTCTTAAGTGCTATTTATTTAATAACTAGAGTAAATTCACATGCTCATAATGGTGATTTTTGCAAAAACTATTAATTTGAAGCTTCGGGGCACTAAGAAAAAAAAATTGCAGCTCATTGAATTTTTCGGGACACTTTAAGATTGAAAAATTACCGACAACATCCTTCTTTTATCCATTTTATCCAAAGTTATATTAAGTTATACAAATATACTTAAATATGCG